GATGGATGGATGGATGGATGGATGGATGGATGGATGGATGGATGGATGGATGGATGGATGGATGGATGGATGGATGGATGGATGGAGCCAGATGACATACTGATAAGAACTGTTATTTTTATTTACCAAAGTTTCATAGAAATGTTTGAGAATAAATCCTTATTGAAAGCCTGTTTGGGTTTTTAAAACCTCAGATTGGAATTTTGTCCTAGAATTAATTATTTTTCATACAGAGAAGGTTCAAAACATTCAGCTACATCCTAATTATTGTTCAATAACTCTCGTTCTGTTGTAGATACAAAAACATATTTTATTATCCACCACTTTGCACTTGGGCTCAGGAACCTAAAAGTTAATAATAAAGTCCATGCTCAATAATCCAGGTATAAAATCCAACATTTTTCAGTCAGGTCATCTGGACAGGATTTTATACCTGGATTATTGAGCATGGACTTTATTGTTTTCAACCAGTTTGACAAGACTGTCAACAAGGAAGAGGGCCAGCAAAGGAGGAGGGGCGTACCAAAGAGACCATCTAATCACAAGCAGAACTGGTTTGTTCCACTTTGGAGTAAGCTGTTGGAGGAAGAATCAGTTTTGTTGTGTGTTTCCTTGACTGATGAAGCCTTCTGGATCGAAGGCGAAACATTTCAGCACAAAAAAAGAAACTGTCCAGATGACCTGACTAAAGGTTAATAGTTTTCTGTTTCCGACTGGGAAAATATATCTTGAGCAGACACGTGTGTCTCCTTCTCATTATTACTGTTACTATTATTATTCAACCTTAAACTGCATGTGTTGTACATTTTACAAACTTGTGATGTGTTTCTGAGAGTAAATGATATCACTTTGGTGATCCTGAGATGAAATATGAGCAGTTGTTTTTTCTCTTTTTAATCCAACTGGGTTAACAAATATTTGTTATTTGATGGTTCTTTAGACCTATCAGAGTGCTCATTCAGAGAAAATGTTACTTTTATCATTTCTCTGCAGCGTGTCCTTCAATAAGTGAGTGGGTGGATGTAAATCGCCCACTTGTTCATATATTTAGGTGTTGAGTGCCTCAACTTAATCATGTGGCAGATACAATAAAAATAACTCAGAATATATGTGTTTAGCACATTTTTCAAAAAGTGCAACAAATAGAAGGAATTGTAGAGCATGAGCAGACACCAGGTACACAGACGCCTCCACGAAAGGATTTCTCAGCAGACAGACTGTGCTGGAGTCGAATTAAAGATGGCTGTTCAGAAACTGACCTAAAAATTATTTTGCCTCATAAAGTAGTTCCTCCTAATAAATACTGCTAATGTCTTATTTACTGAGCTTGCTGTGTACTTTTGTTCTGTGCATTTTAAAACTATTTTGGGTGGCTGTGATGGTCAGTGTTTACATTAGTCTGCTTGTAATCAGAAATCTGTTGGCTTGATCCTTGTTTGGAACATTTATATAAACCAGTGATGATATATTCTAACATCATTTCTTCACTTTTAGATTTTTTTATGAAAGTGAAAAAAAACTTTTACACATCCAAACAATTTTGAACATGAGTGTTCGGCAATCCTCCATCTCTCACTTGTTTTTTGGGGGATTTTTTTCAGCACAGTCATAATATCAAACTACATTAAAGAAAAAATAAATACATAAATAAACAAAGGAATAATTAAATATAAATAATAACCACATACATTGGCAATATTGGTGCAAAGGTCTTACAATCTACAAAGTAAACTAAATAAGGTAAATTTAAAAAAAAGAGTTAAATAAATGTATACATAAATGAGCAAAATAAAATATGTACATTTTTATGTATACAATCTCTCTCTCGTGTCATATATGAGCCCTGTTTCAGGTGGGAATGGATGTGGGGGTGGGAGGCGTCCGTTTCTCTCATTTATGAGACCGGACTATTTTTCACAAGGCATCAACCCACAGAAGGAAGAAAAGAGGAAATGAATTTGTTCACAAAAACAAACAAAATGTAAACAACAACAACAATAAATTAAATATTAAACATATATCACAGGGCAGCACGGTGGCACAACTGGTAGAGCTGCTGCCTCTCAGCAAACAGGTCCCTGGTTCAAACCCCGGTCCAGGTGCCTTCTGGGTGGAGTTTGCATGTTCTCTCCGTGCATGCGTGGGTTTTCTCCGGGTACTCCGGTTTCCTCCCACAGACCAAAAACATGCATGTTAGGCTGATTGGTAACTCTAAATTGTCCCTAGGTGTGAGTGAGAGAGTGAATGGTTGTTTGTCTCGTTTGTCTCTATGTGGCCCTGTGATGGACTGGAGACCTGTCCAGGGTGTACCCCGCCCCTCGCACAGTGATTGCTGGACATGGGCACCAGCAGTGACACCTGTGACCCAAAATGGAATAAACGGGTAAAGATAATGGATGGATGGACATATATCACAGAAAATGTAAAACAGTTTGTCAAATTTGTGCAGTTAGTGATTCAGGAAATTCACGTCCGCCCCACTAATAGTGTTGCTCAGGATCCACCACTGGAAGTCGACGATTGTACTCAAGCACGGCCACAAAATTAACTAAACTAACCAACTTAACCGTACAAGCTCAGATTGAAGGTGTTCAGCAATGTCTTCGATAAATTAATTAATTTACTAAAATGGTTAGTGTTTCACTCACTCCCGTATTATTTGTAGCATAGCACCTATCATCTTCTAATTTATTTATATTTTTTTATTTTCCAAGAGTTTATTTTAAAAAAAAAAAACTGTTCAGTTTTATCTCAGTGTGTTTGTGCTAACAAAGGGTTTCCATCTTGAAACAAAAAGCTCAATGAAAGTTTGTGAACTTTTTTATAATTTTCTATATTTCTGCATAAATTTGACTTAAATCATCATCAGATTTTCACACAAGTCTTAAAAGTAGATAAAGAGAACCCAGTTAAACAAATTAGACAAAATATTACACTTGATCATTTATTTATTGATGAAAATGAGTCAATAAATAATGTTAATTATTAAATATTATAATTATTAATTATAAGATACTGAAAGCAAAGGTTCACATACTTTTACCATCACAAATATGTTGAATCATTTTCCTCAATAAATAAATAGTCAAGTATAATATTTTTGTCTCGTTTGTTTAACTGGGTTCTCTTTGTTTACTTTTAGGACTTGTGTGAAAATCTGATGATGTGTTCGATCATATTGATGCAGAAATATAGAAAATTAAAAAGAGTTCAGAACTTTCAAGCACCACTGTAACAGTTTATTTTACAGGTAAGCTCTTATTTGTTGTGGTAGTAGCTAAGAGGCGTCCCCACCTCCTTGAGCGCTAAAATATTGCATTACACTTTTTGTTTAAACCTACATTAATAACTGTTGGAGTCAACACGCTTTGTCCCCGTCTGTTAGCAAAATATCACCTGAACCAATGGACATATTTCAATGAAACTCTCAGAAACTAACATCTGAATAACCTATATGAAATTATCTACATATAATTATGTTTTAAGTTCAACTCATTTTAAGATGGCTGACACTGCTTATAAGTGGTTATTTTTTTATCCTTCATGGAATGTTTTTTTTTTTTATTCCAAATAAGTTTTTTTTTTTTTTTACATGGAATTTCACATTTGCAAAATTTGCATCCCAGATTGTTAAAACAAATATATCCTAAAATTTTATTTTAGGATATAATAGTTTTAGGGTTTTTCTATTTTATATCCTAGAACGTAATCTGCACACAAAAATCAACATTCAAGATCATGACGTTGTTAGAATTTGCTGCTAAAACCACTAATATTAACTTAAAGTTCTTGCTTACTGCAGAACAATCTGCATAATTGCAGCTAATCAGTTGAGAACAGTCAGTTCTGTCATTTCTTCAAGATCTTGTCTCCACACACTCACCTTGATGATGTCATCCAGCTGGTCAGGAGTGACACACGGGTGTTTCTGCAGGAACGATGCCTTCTCCTGGGTGATGCTAGTCTTCTGGTCACTCTCAAAAGGTTGTTCAAGAGCCTTGAAGGCCAGAGCTCCACCGACCAGGTACAGAACCACCACAATGAACACCGCCAGCACCGTCTTCCACTTCATCACTGATTGGAGCGCCGCAATCGAGCCGTCGTTGTTGGCGTCCAAACTTGCCACCATGCTGGCGGAGCGGGACGAGATGGAGAGGCGAGGAAGTGCGCAGTGGCCGTTGGCTCTTGGGTCGTAGCTCATGGGGTTCTGCATGGTGGCCACACTGGCGTGGACCAGGCTTGACTTCACCATGCCAGCCTTCATCTTCTTGGGAGTGACCAAGTGGGTCTGGACCGCCACTGGGAAAAAAGAGAGAAGGGGAAATCATGGGTTAATATATGTTGTTTACGATCTTCTTGAAAAGTATTAGCACAAAAACAGATGTTTGGTCTTTTTTGTGTCATTCTGGGGGTTGGATGTGTTTGGTTAAAAAAAAAAAAAAAACAAGAAATGCTCAAGTTTATTATAATACATAATGAAAATTCTAAATTATGGGTTTGAGAAAAGTAATAAAGGTTCCCCTCCACCTTTTCTTATGACTTACATTTTACATTTAATAATAGCAGTCAGACAAATATAAGAGCCTTACAGCTATTGAAAACACATCACCCTTCATGAAGGTGTTAAAAGCAGCTGAGCTCATAAATGGCTCAAATTTAAAGCTTTTAGAGTAGATGCATGTTATCCATGTCTGCAGCAAGACGCCCTGTCACCTAAAAATGACCCTGTCTTTAAAATGCTAAGACGTTTCAGAAAATTAAATCATACAGTGCCTTGCAAAAGTATTCGGCCCCCTTGAACTTTTCAACCTTTTGCCACATTTCAGGCTTCAAACATCCATCCATCCATTATCTTTACCCGTTTATTCCATTTTTGGGTCACGGGGGTCACCGGTGCCCATGTCCAGCAATCACTGTGCGAGGGGTGGGGTACACCCTGAACAGGTCTCCAGTCCATCACAGGGACACATAGAGAAAAACAACCATTCACTCTCTCACTCACACCTAGGGACAATTTAGAGTTACCAATCAGTCTAACATGCATGTTTATGATCTGTGGGAGGAAACTGGAGTACCCGGAGAAAACCCACGCATGCAACAAGAGAACATGCAAACTCCACCCAGAAGGCCCCTGGACCGGGGTTTGAACCAGGGACCTTCTCGCTGAGAGGCAGCAGCTCTACCAGTTGCACCACCGTGCTGCCGGCTTCAAAAATAAATATATAAAATTTTAATTTTTTGTGAAGAATCAACAACTGGGACACAATCGTGAAGTGGAATGAAATTTATTAGATGTGTCAAACTTTTTTAACAAATAAAAACCTGAAAAGTGGGGCGTGCAATATTATTGGGCCCCTTTACTTTCAGTGCAGCAAACTCACTCCAGAAGTTCAGTGAGGATCTATGAATGATCCAACGTTGTCCCAAATGACTGATGATGATAAATAGAATCCACCTGTGTGTAATCAAGTCTCTGTATAAATGCACCTGCTCTGTGATAGTCTCAGGGTTCTGTTCAAAGCACAGAGATCATCATGAAGACCAGGGAACACACCAGGCAGGTCCAAGATACTGTTGTGGAGAAGTTTAAAGCCGGATTTGGATACAAAAAGATTTCCCAAGCTTTAAACATCCCAAGGAGCACTGTGCAAGCAATCATATTGAAATGGAAGGAGTATCAGACCACTGCAAATCTACCAAGACCCAGCCGTCCCTCTAAACTTTCATCTGGAACAAGGAGAAGACTGATCAGAGATGCAGCCAAGAGGCCCATGATCACTCTGGATGAACTGCAGAGATCTACAGCTGAGGTGGGAGAGTCTGTCCATAGGACAACAATCAGTCGTACACTGCACAAATCTGGCCATTATGGAAGAGTGGCAAGAAGAAAGCCATTTCTCAAAGATATCCATAAAAAGTGTTGTTTAACGTTTGACACAAGCACCTGGGAGACACCAAACATGTGGAAGAAGGTGCTCTGGTCATATGAAACCAAAATCCAACTGTTTGGCCACAATGCAAAACGATATGTTTGGTGTAAAAGCAACACAGCTCATCACCCTGAACACACCATCCCCACTGTCAAACATGGTGGCAGCATCATGGTTTGGGCCTGCTTTTCATCAGCAGGGACAGGGAAGAGGGTCAGAATTGATGGGAAGATGGATGGGGCCAAATACAGGACCATTCTGGAAGAAAACCTGTTTGTCTGCAAGAGACCTGAGACTGGGACGGAGATTTATCTTCCAACAAGACAATGATCCAAAACATAAAGACACATCTACAATGGAATGGTTCACAAATAAACATATCCAGATGTTGGAATGGCCAAGTCAAAGTCCAGACCTGAATCCAATCGAGAATCTGTGGAAAGAGCTGAAGACTGCTGTTCACAAACGCTCTCCATCCAACCTCACTGAGCTCGAGCTGTTTTACAGGAAGAATGGGCAGAATTTCAGTGTCTCCATGTTCAACACTGATAGAGACAAACCCCAAGAGACTTGCAGCTGGAACTGCAGCAAAAGGCGGCGCTACAAAGTATTAATGCAAGGGGGCCGAATAATATTGCACGCCCCACTTTTCAGTTTTTTATTTGTTAAAAAAGTTTGACACATCCAATAAATTTCATTCCACTTCACAATTGTGTCCCACTTGTTGTTGATTCTTCACAAAAATTTAAATTTTATATCTTTGTGTTTGAAGCCTGAAATGTGGCAAAAAGTTGAAAAGTTCAAGGGGGCCGAATACTTTCACAAGGCACTGTACGTTCCTGTTGTTCTGATGAGAGTACGCACCAGGATCACGGATAAATGTGGAAAACCAGAATTAGCACTTTTGCTTAAGGACGTACAATAACTACATTGATTTTAAGGCAAGTCCTAAACTCCTAACATAAACGAGTCTTCTTGCAGAAAAGCGGCTTCAGATGAGTGTACTTGTCCAAAGGAGCTGCTATTTTGTGTTGCAGGTCAAACAAGCAGCGAGCTGCAGCATCCAGGAGGCAGACAAACTTAGATTCCTTTTAATGTATCGATTGTATAAGCCTTTCAGAGCTTTGGCCTTCACCCCCACAACGCCTCTTCCCTCTGGCTGAAGAGCAGAGAATGCCTCTGAGATATTGGGTGGAGCTTGTTGTCTATAAGGATGCAGCCTTCAAAGGCGGAAAAGAGAAATGAACTCCACTGGTTTGTTTACTGGCATTGTATGTCACACACTGCGCCAATAAATCCAGGGTGCCCAAAGAGAAAGGGTTCTCACCGTCTGATAAATCTTTTCAGTAAATCTCCACAACAGTGAGTGGATCAATAACAGTAAAGTGATCCTACAGGCACAGGAAAGTGCAAAACAGCCACTTTTGATTAACAATGTACATCTTAAAGGGAGGGGGGTGGTTATTTTTTTACAGTGTTGACACATCAATGAGCAGAAGGACTGCAAACAAAGTTGATGTGGTTTTAATGAGATTTTATTGGTCTTGCCAGTGGATTAATTGCTACTTATCGCTTCTTATCAGCAATTAAAACTGAGTAAATTAGTTATGCATCAAAATGAAAGGAAGAAGGTTATACAGATTTATTTCTTCAGTCTATTTGGTTGAAAATTATTTGTGAACATGAACTACAAGATATGAGAGCCTGAAATCAGAACCAGAACTGCAGTGGACAAGATGTAGGCTTGAGATGTCGGAGACTGCATGTACATTACTGTAAAGTCGTTTTCAGACTACCGTAACAGCTTTACATCGATTTTTGCAAATTAAATAAGCACCTGAGTGGAAAGAAGAGTGTATGTGATAATGTCTGAGGCTCTCAGCCTTCACTCCCTGCGTCTAAAATATCCACGTAAAAAGGAGATGGTGCATAATGGAAGTTTATGTGGATGAAGACAGTGAGTTTCATGATGTCATAAAATGTTGCATTTATACCACACTTAAAACCAATTTGGGAAACAGCTATATAAAAGGCTAAACTTAAATGTTGGTTAAACACTAAGTTTAAAATACATAGAGATTGTTTAAATAAGTCAGTAAACACAATGGCAATGTGGTGCCATTATGGCAGGTTGCAGGCATTCAACTCACCAGCTGAGCATCAAACCCAACCATAAAGATGCTGGGATTAATCAACTTCCGGCAAAAGTAGCATTTCAAAATAAAGTGTATTGATCTTGTTTGTTTTTCTGCAATTAAAGTTGTAAGAATGTTTCACCAAAATGTTCTGTATTTTCAAACCCTAGCGTGGGTTAGGTTTTACTTCAGTTAGGATTTTAAATCAATCACTGTGTTTTTATGCATCTAAGGAGAACTGAAAGGAAACGGAGCGCCGATGACTCATTGGAAGACCCTCGCTCCGACAAACAAATCTTAAAAATGTAAACTGTGTAGTGACGTCATGTAAACATTCCATGCAAATCCCAATACACTATTATTTTGAAACAACTTCCGGTTTTACCATTATTAATTCCGTCATCTTGACTTTTTGCAGCTGCGCTTGTGTCGGTGCTGCCCTGCGCAACTGTGCTCAGCGGAGGGTGGAACATGAACACCTTTCTAGTACTACTGAGGGCATTTTGCATCATTTGTCACATGGTCTGAGAGGAATCCTTCAGAGACAAACAACAAGAGTCCCAGGCTTGAATAATTAGCTGCTTTAAAGAGTTCAAGAGATAAATCATGTAATGCGGATGTGCCGCAGGTTGCCCATCATCCCGGAGTGGACAGCTGTTTTAAACAACACAAACTGGCAACAAACGCATCATTACCTTGCTCAGGGTCCCAGTTAACTTGTTTTGTCGGGTGTTCTATTGGAAATTTCATCTCTGGTTGTTGTTGTTTTTTCAGTCACACTGACAAACTAAAAATAATAATAATAATAATAATAATAATAATGCGAATCCAAAATCAGACGATAAAGGGAACGAGATGAATCACGACGCGTTCCTTCTTCGGTGCTTCATCTTTGTTGCGCTGAAGCTGCTTTGGAATAAACGCATCGCAAAACCGCATTGTCTGCCTTTCAAGTGGAGAACACCACCCACCCCCACCCCCCTCCTCCTTTTTAACCCCCGCCCTGCTCGAACGCGGTGTCGCCTACCACCGACAGACACGAGATGAGGTGGTGGGCTCCAGATGCCTCACACCCCTCCGTGGTCCAAACAACACCACTGAAGAAGTGGTCCGGTCCACAGAACCTGCCAGCGTGCGCGTGTGTAGCCAAGCGTTTTTACGCACGCGACGAGAACAACGGAGGATGCTCTCCTCCCTCTCAGCTCTTGCAGCCACGACTCCACCTGCCCTGTTCTCTCGAGATGCGTCGAGCCTCGCGCCAGCAAGGTTTGCAGCACGTGTCGATGTGAACAAGTGACTTAAAGACCACTTACTGTTTGTGTGTTTGAAGCCCAGCAGGGTTAGTTCTACCTCCTCATCATTTGGCAGCCGGCAACTGAGCACATGGCGCACGACGGCACCAAATCAGTGACCGCCAAACTATTACATCATTCATATGTGGGAGTAAACGTGAATTATTGATGAATGATGGTAGATGAAGATGGACAACCTGCTCCAAGCCATCATGCCCACTGGGCTGATGGAACATGCACAGTGTCAGCGTAAAACTGCTGAGACATTTAGAGCGTGACCAAAAATTATGTGGTTTCAAGCTCTTAATGTAACATCCATCCATCATCTTTACCTGCTTCTTCCTTTTCAGGGCGTGGAGGTCACTGGTGCCCAAATCCAGCAATCGCTGTGCACAGGTGGGGGGACACACCCTGGACAGGTCTCCAGTCCATCACAGGGACACATAGAGACAAATGAGACAAACATCCATTCACTCTCACTCACACCTAGGGACAATTTAGAGTTACCAATCAGTCTAACGTGGGAGGAAACTGGAGTACCCGGAGGAAACCCACACATGCACAGAGAGAACATGCAAACTGCACCCAGAAAGGTCCATGGCTGGGATTTGAATTGGTGACCGTCTCTCACTGAGAGGCAGCAGCTCTACCAAACCACTTACTTTTTGTTCCACCCCAATACAGCTGATTATAAATCCATGAAAGCACACGTATTGTTGCATAATGCTTTTAAAGAGAGTTTTATCAACAAACAGATGTCCTGTTTATTATGGCCTGAAGGCTTCACTAATCTGAGCTCACTTATTTTGGAGTAAAAACAAAAAGATGAGGGGTTTTTTTACCAGTACTACAGTATATATTACAGATGATTCATATGCTATTTTATGGTAAATGCACTGTAATTATATATAGCCTTTCAAGACACTCAAATGTCTTTACAACACAATATGTGCCCTCATTTACCTCCACACACACATACAGCACTCTACTAGATCTCTACAAAGCTAACTGAACAAATCATTCTAAAGAGACTAATTAGTGCTTTACAGTGGTGTAGTCTACATTTTTGTAGTGTGTATACTGCGCTTACAAACCAAAGTACACTGGTTAGTACAATGCAATCGTCAATTTATTTAGATTTTTAAGCATATTGAGCATTTCCACATTTTTCTGATGCACATATATGAATAAATGTACAACAAACTTTGTACAACAGTTGGCTTTGTAGTAAAAAAAAGTTATAGAATTTATCAAACCGTATCACAGCAAAACATGTTCACGTATTAAGTAGTAAAAACAATAATTTGCTGGAAAAGCGACTGTAATAAACAAGCGCTGCATACAGATAGATTGTTACGGAAGCATTTAACTGCCGTTTAACATATCAATGACATGTGTCTAATGATAAGTCATGTATCACTGGGCACTTTTAAATGGGTATACTGAAATTCTTAAGCTTTTCTATACCCACTAATCACATAAACTACAGCACTGGTGCTTTATCACACTCATACACTGATGGGACACACATCGGAGGCAACGAGGGGTTCAGTGTCTTGCCCAGGGACACGTCAGTGTGTGACTGCTGGTGGAATCAAACCACCTACTCTCTCATTGGAGGACGACTGCTTTAACCACTCAGCCACAGCCGCCCATGACTCTCTTTTATCACAGAATACTATGTGTCAAAGTTTATCCAGGTCTTTCTTTTTTCAAATCATTTCAAATTTTTGATAATGACTCAGAAGGACATCTTTATGTTTGTGGTCAAAACTGACCAGTATGATTTTAATTGTGAAAAGAGGTGCAAAACTATGAAAATGTAATTTTAATATCATTCCTGTAATTTAAAAAGGCCCTATAGATAGATCCTCATTCCTTCAACGAAATGGAACCTGCGGGGCCCTCTTCCTCATCACGGTTTGGACTCGGCCTTGTTTTCAACTTCTGACTCGTCTCCCGTGAAGCGCCTGTCATGTCAGGTTCATGGCCTCTCTCCTCATCATCAGTGTCGTGATCCAAGAGGATGGAGGGTTTCAGTGTTGTTCAGTTACTGTGCAACAGAATGAAGTTTGAGCAAGGTCTTTACTGTATTCCAGAACTGGGAGTGGTGGCGCAGAGGTTAGAGAAGGTGGGCCTGTGATCAGAAGACCGCTGGTTCAACTCCCGGTTCTGACAACATCAAAATGTGGGTGGGATAGGTGAAGCACCCCCGTGTCTCCACCCTCATTCTGGGCTCTTGATCAAGGCCCTTAACCCCCACCATCTACTCCCCTGGGCACCCTAAATGAAGCTCTCTGCTCCACACAGAGGGCTGTGGTAGCTCGGTGTCTGTGGTTGTGTCAGGAAGAACATCGGGCGTAAAAATAACTGTCAAGTCTTCGTGCGACTTAGTTCACTGTGGTGACCCCTGAAGAAGAGAGCAGCTGACCGAAGACACACAACTTTATACCAGAACTGTGACAAAAGTACAAAGTTGTAAATGTTTGTGAGTCAGCAGGTGTGGTTCCCATGGAGGAAAGGTTCTGCTATAGCAGGGGTGTCAAATTCACTTACAAAAGGGGGCCAACATTAAAACATTTTTCAAACTAAGGGCCAATTTCAGAATACACAAGTTAGTTACCCGACATCTTTTCTTGGTTACAGGTTCCTCAACAAAAGTTTGCTTGGTCTCATTTGATGTTTTCTGCTGCACGTGCTACATCATAATCAAATATTACTGAAAAAAATTCAACTGATAAAAGTATTTTATATTTAACATATCATCTTGGGGGCCAAATAAGATGTCAACGAGGGCCAGATTTGGCCCCCGGGTCTTGAGTTTGACACATGTGTGCTATAGGAACATGTTCCCTTGGGTGTTGCCATGGAAGCGCTGTGTGTGTGTGTGTGTGTCCACTCAAATACAAATGTACCTGGGGGTGTGGGAAAGGAATTATATTCATCTGCTGATGTGTTAGAGAGGAGTGGGGAGTGGTGGCGCAGAGGTTAGAGAAGGTGGGCCTGTGATTGTAAGATCGCCGGTTCAAGCCCCGGTACCGACAACATCAAAAATGTGGGTGGGGTAGGCGAAGAACCCACACACGCTCCCACCCCCATTCGCCCCACCCTGGGCCCATGAGCAAGGCCTTTAACCCCCACCTGCTCCCTAAACAGGTCTCTCTTGAAAATGAGTTCTCGTGGCTCAACGAGACTACCTGATTAAATAAAGGCTAAATGAAAAAATAAATAAATAAATGATGTCATTATTACACTATTTCTCAGACATTTCTGATGACAGGTCACTTTGGACCAGCACACTAATGGTGTGATTTGAATAAATCTCCTAAATACAAATGACCAAAAATTGTTTAGTCTGTTTGGATAACGTGTGTGAACAAAGTCAAAGCCCCTGCACAGCGTGCACCACCTGGAGACTGAGGTGGCTGCAAGAAATCCTACCAAAGATTAGAAAGCGGTGCAGATGCATCCATCAGGGCGGCACAAGAAGCAAGGAGCCGCCGCAGCATCGTGTGTGGGCGAGCACAGAACAGAACCAAATGTTTTCTGGTGACATTAATGTTCTAATGAATCTGGATGTTTGACAGGATTTAATTTATATACAAGACCAAGATAAATAAGAGATATATCAGAAAACGTTTGTAGCTCAGAGAATTTTAAAAAGAAGACATTTAAACCAAATCAAGTGTTTTAAGAACACTGTTCAAACTATCATTTGACTTTTGCTTTTTACAATTTGCCAATTTAGATAAATGCTACAATTGAATTACTTTTTTTAATGAATGCTGGAAGAGCATTCCCATGACCAACATATATGTTGTCTCACCTCTGTTCTGCTTTCATCAGCTGACAATCACAAGCTGCAATAAATGAATTTTTTATTATAAATACAAGCTAATATCAGTGTTGTGGCTGACAATGATGCATGTGGCGTGTATACATCACTTTACAGTTTTGGTCTAACTGAACATAACAATGTCAACATAATTGTCAACGAGTTCTTCAGGCAACAACAGAACTGAAAAAATTACATCAACTGAAACTCTGTGTGGTTTCTAGCTTAAGTTTATACTTTTTTCATGTTCAGTGTCACAATGTTATAAATTTTGGAAAATTTAGTTTGGAAATGTCATTTAAATTGAATATATATACTTTTTAACAAACAGAGGTTCTTTGAAGCAGAACTGAATTATTACTTGGCATCTGCTCATGTCTCACAAAGACTTTTGTACAAAAACCAGGATTCCTTTATAATCTTGTGAGGCTGCAATGCTCTTGTCACAAGCATTCTTCTTCTTCTTCTTTCGGCTTTTCCCTCTTCAGGGGTCACCACAGCTCGTCATCCTCCTCCATCTCTGTCCTCTGCATCCTCTGTCCTCACTCCAGCTACCTCCATGTCCTCTCCTCTCCTCTTTGTCTTTTTCCTGGCAGCTGCATTTCTAACATCTTTCTACCAATATACCCACTGTCCCTCCTCCGGACATGTCCAAACCATCTCAGTGTGTCCTCTCTAACTTTATCTCCCAGTTGTTCAACCTGTGCTGTTCCTCTGATGATCTCATTCCTGATCATCTCCATCCTTGTCACTCCTTAGGAGAACTTCAACATCTTCACAGCTCTTGTCACAAGCAGGTGGGTTTTTAATTTGTTTTTGTTTTGATTTTGTTTTTCGGGTAATTGGTTCCATTTGCTCCTTCTTGCCTTATTATAAACACTAAAGTAAATATTGTTCTACTATATTTCATTGAAATAGCATTCTTCAGCTTATCTGAAAACATGACAGCGGAACTCTCCTTACGCACAAACGTGATGACGACATGAACTCTCCTTACGCACAAACGTGATGACGACAGCGGTCTTAGCAACCAGCATGGCGACGGTAAAGCTTCGCTCTTTATTTGTTTAAGGCTGTTAGTTTTTCAGGTTATTTTGCGGCACTATGTTCAAATATATGCACCTCAAGGCTTCCAGATGCCCCCCGAGATTTGTCTTCACTCGTGGGGTATATATTTGAGGAAAAATGGGATACGCTGAATGTAACACAATGGAATCAAGAACAGGTAATATTAGCATGCTACAACTAGCTACACTAGCTAGTTGAAGGAGTATTCATGAAGACTTGCAAAAAGCATAAATATAAAACTCAAACAGGACTTTTTTTGTTTCTCATTTATTAGTTGTATTTGATTTCTACTGTTTTAATTCTTTAAATATAAGCTATACTGTACATAAAATACGGTCAGGGTATTAACATGTACTGTATGAACAAGTATGCAAACACTGAAATTACTTTCTTTTACTCGAAAAAAGTTCAATCTGGTCCTCTGGACATTCAAAAAAAACAAAGCAAACAAATATCGAAACGTTTCGTCTCTCATCCAAGAGACTTCCTCAGTCTGAGGTGCTGTTTTCAGCTCAGTCTCTTAAATAGCACCTTCTCAGAGTGGATCAACCAGTTTGCTGCTGACAACCAAAACCAGCTGATCACATGCTCAAGAAGGACCATCAGCCTAACAATGGATCATTAGCACACTGATGGCTGTTTACTACTCACAGAGGGCTGAGTGATACTAGTAATCACAGCATTGTAAGAGGGGGACAGTTGAACCCGGAGGCCTCCACCCCTGTTTAATGATGGACGGTTTCTTTTCACAAAGATGGCCTCCTTTACTCCTCTCTCAAACCATCGTTCCTCTCTGTCCAGGATGTGAACATCTTCATCCCTGAAAGAGTGACCGCTGGCCTGGAGATGAGTGTAGACCGCAGAATCCTGGCCTGATGATGTTGATCTTCTGTGCTGGGCCATCCTTTTGGCCAGTGGCTGTTTTGTTTCAGCGATGTAAGACTGATCACCCTCCTGACACTGAACAGCATACACAACATTACTCTGTTTGTGCCGGGGGACTGGATCTTTGGGATGAACCAGTCTTTGCCGTAATGTATTTTGGGGTTTAAAAGCCACTGGGACGTTATGTTTAGAAAATAAACGTCTCAGTTTCTCTGATACTCCCTCAACATACGGAATGACCACTGGTCTGGGTCTGGGTTCCTCCTTTTCACCTGTTGGCTGACTGGAGTCCTGTTTGGGTTTCTTCTCTGCTTTCAGAAAGGCCCAGTTAGGATATCCACATTGCTCTAGAGCCTGTCTTGTGTATGATTTCTCCTTCTGCCTGGCTCCTGAGCTAGTGGGGATGCTGTCTGCTCTGTGGTACAGAGTCCTGATGACTCCTAACTTGTGCTCCAAAGGGTGATGGGAGTCAAACTGCAAATACTGGTCTGTGTGGGTGGGTTTGCGGTACACCTCGGTTTGCAAATGTCCTCTATCCGAGACTGAGACCTCACAGTCCAAGAAAGCCAACCTGCCATTTTTTACATCTTCTCGTGTGAACTTGATGTATTTATCCACAGAGTTGATGTGGTCAGTAAAATGTTGGACTTCCTGAGATTTAATTTTAACCCAGGTGTCGTCAACATACCTGAACCAATGACTTGGTGGTGTCCCTGAAAAGGACGTCAAGGCTCTCTTTTCTACCTCCTCCATGTACAGGTTGTCAACAATAGGAGAAACTGGAGACCCCATAGCACACCCATGTTTCTGCCTATAATATTGCTCCCCATATGTGAAGTAGGTTGACTGCAGGCACAGTTTCAAGAGTTGACACAGTTGTTCTGTGGAAAGCGTGGTCCTGCTGCTCAGAGTGGTGTCTGATTTTAATCTTAAACTGACCACCTCTACTGCATCATCAACAGGAATGCACGTAAAGAGTGATGTGACATCAAAAGAGACCATTGTTTCATCAGTCTTCATCATGACATCCCTCACCTTATCCACAAAGTCCATGGTGTTCTGTATGTGGTGTTCTGAGCTGCCAACTAAAGGGATGAGTACAGACGCCAGATATTTGGAAACATTGTAAGTGACAGAGTTAATCATGCTAACAATAGGTCTTAAAGGTACACCTTGTTTGTGGATTTTAGGTAAACCATACAGACTAGGTGTGGCCTCCCCTGGGTACAGTCTGTGGTACAGAAAACGGTCAATAGCCTTGTCCTGCTCCAAAATTTTCAGGCAATCTATTAACTTCTTCTTGTAACCACTTCCTGGATCTCTTTTCAGAGGTTCATAAGTGGTTAAGTCACTAAGGAGTGTCATAACTTTCTCATGATAGTCTTTCTGGTTCAAAATCACTGTGCACCTTCCTTTGTCTGCTGGGAGAATGATGATGTTTTTGTCCTTGCTAAGAGTGGTGAGTGCATCCCTCTCCTCTCTACTGATGTTGGAAGGTGGTGGTTTGGCATTGCTGAGGCAGGATGAAACTTTGATTCTGAGCTGTTCTGCTTCAGCCTCTTTAATTTTGTTGTTGCGGATGGCTGACTCAGTAGCTGTGATCATCTCCACCAGAGGAATTCTACTTGGTGCAACTGCAAAGTTCAGTCCCCTGGCAAGAATCTCTGTCTCCGGCTGGGTGAGCTGTCTGTCAGATAAATTCTTCACACACTTTTCTGTCTCCCTGGCATGTAATTGACTACTGGAGTGTTGTCCTACACTGAATGTGTTGTTATTGGAATAGTGATGGTGTTGATGAGTTATTAGTAAGTTAAACTTATTTTGTTGTCGAGTCTTGGACTTGACATGCTGTGCTAAACGTGCCTGATCTGTACAGTCCAACACTTGCTGAGGTGTGGTCTGATCTAGACACATAGTTAGTTTCTGTTTAATGTGCTCTTCTTTGGCCTTCAAGGCCTCAATAGTAAAATTGGTCCGTCTCACCCGTTCATTCAGCAGCTGGGTCTGTGCCTTCTGAAGGATCTTGCTTGCCCGGTGCCCGCTGACCGATGATTTTAGTTCCAGGCTCTTGGGAATGATGCCACTTTATCGACATCTGAGGACAGCAAGGAAGAGGGCAGACTACAGGAACCACTTGCGATTCAACCTCAGATGTCGAACAGGACTCCAGTCAGCCAACAGGTGAAAAGGAGGAACCCAGACCCAGACCAGTGGTCATTCCGTATGTTGAGGGAGTATCAGAGAAACTGAGACGTTTATTTTCTAAACATAATGTCCCAGTGGCTTTTAAACCCCAAAATACATTACGGCAAAGACTCAAAGATCCAGTCCCCCGGCACAAACAGAGTAATATTGTGTATGCTGTTCAGTGTCAGGAGGGCTGTGATCAGTCTTACATCGGGGAAAGTAAACAGCCACTGGCCAAAAGGATGGCCCAGCACAGAAGATCAACATCATCAGGCCAGGACTCTGCGGTCTACACTCATCTCCAGGCCAGCGGTCACTCTTTCAAGGATGAAGATGTTCACATCCTGGACAGAGAGGAACGATGGTTTGAGAGAGGAGTAAAGGAGGCCATCTTTGTGAAAAGAAATCGTCCATCATTAAACAGGGGTGGAGCCTCCGGGTTCAACCTCTTACAATGCTGCGATTGCTAGTATCACTCAGCCCTCTGTGAATAGTAAACAGCCATCAGTGTGCTAATGATCCATTGTTAGGCTGATGGTCCTTCTTGAGCATGTGATCAGCTGGTTTTGGTTGTCAGCAGCAAACTGGTTGATCCACTCTGAGA